CTGGGAAGACCATCTACCTCTGATAGAATTTGCCTTCAACAACAGCTTCCAAGCCAGTATTCAGATCGCACCTTATGACCTATATGGAAGAAAGTGTAGGTCGCCCATTTGTTGGGATGAGGTGGGCGAAAGAAGACTATTAAGGCCCAAAATCGTTCAAAGAACTTCTGAGAAGATTTCCTTAATTCGAGAGCGGCTCAAGACAGCCCAAAGTCGGCAAAAGAGTTATACTGATAATCGCAAGAGAGACCTCGAATTTGAAGTGGGTGATCGAGTCTTCCTGAAGGTTTCGCCAACCAAGGGCATTACAAGATTTGGCAAAAAAGGAAAGTTCAGCCCGTAGTATATTTGACCCTTTGAAATCCTTGAAAGAGTTGGGAACATGGGATACCGGCTTGTCGTGCCACCTAAATTGGCCAACATTCACAATGTTTTTCATGCATCGTTGCTAAACAAATATCAGCCTGACCTGTCCCAAGTTTTGGAGTACGAACCAATCCCCATCAAGGAAGACTTGACCTATGTTGAACGGCCACTTGGGATATTAGACAAGAGAGTACAGGTTTTGCGCAATAAAGAAATCCCCCTGGTCAGAGTACCATGGCAATACCATTCAAGAGAAGAATTAACGTGGGAACGGGAGGAGGAGATCAGGGAGAAGTACCCCCACCTTTTTTATTGAAAATGATATGATTTTGAGGACGAAATCCTTTCTAAGGGGGGGGATGATGTAAGGACCACAATTTTCTCCCAGTCCAGAAATGCGCATGGCGATGAAGGGTGAAACAGAGGCCTAGCGCCATCTGTGACCCAGCGCCGACTGGGAAATGAAGAAGAGAGAGAGAGAGAGAGAGATAAAGAGAGAGAATAAGCACCGCATGTGAAAAGTCAACGCCGCACGTGAAGATAGGGATGAGCATCGCCGTCTGTAGAAGAGGCCTAACGTCGGCTGTGAAGAGAGACAAGGAAGAGCAACGCCGTGTGCAAAAGGCATCGCCGTGAGTGTAGCGCCCTTTGAAGCATCACCGCGCGAGAACTGGGGTATCACTGCGTGTGAAGGCTTAGAAGAGCTAACTTCGAAGGTGAAGAGGGAAGATGTGACCGCTCCCAGCGCCGCACTTGTCAGAGCCGTACACGTCAGCTACTGTGACCTTTACCTACCCTAAGTACTTAAGCCCTCTCCCCTCCCCTTTTCCACCGTTCCCCTCACTTTTCCCTTACATTTTTTCTCTCTAGAACCAGTGGTAGTTAACTGCTGCCTTGGAGAAGCCATTGCTTAGAGCTTGGGGTGGCCTGTGAATGGGAGATTGAAGACACTATGAACACCAGGCAAGTGGGTTTAGTGTTGTGCATCATTTCACTTCATAGGACCTAAATTTAAGTTGCTACGAAGAGCAAGATGATAGAATTAAGTGTTTGAGAATAAATGAATAAAAAGGGCTTGAATGAGTGATTGAGCATTAAATAATGAACTTCATAATTTTATAAAGTAGTTTCCGTGTAAAGCATGCTTAGTTTGCCCGACATGAATAAGGCATGTGATGGGTTTTATTTTTTAATGTATATATTTTTTGGCTTGTGAGATGGTGTGTATCATTTGGATAGCATGTTAAAACGTGGGATAGTGGGATTTTCCAACAATTGTGAGGGTCTTTGCCTTTTCCTTGGACTTTTCAATGATCAAACGGCACCCAAATGGGTCCAAATCGATCTTGAATGAAAGATATGTGTCTATTTTAAGTTTATTTTTTATACTACATTAAAATTTTGTAAGGATCAAAGGCTATACTCCAAAATATTGAGTCATGTCACTGCCCACAGCCGCGGTAAATTCCAGCAACTGTGACTCTTTTTGTGCCGCACTTTTGGCCTATCAAACAGTGTCCAAACGTCTTCAAAATGCCACCATTTGGAAGATCAGTGGATAAACCTAAAGTTACATGCTTTGATGATTTTGAGATTTCGCGTAAATTGAGAGCTAAGCCTCGAAATGTGTGGGTACGTCACTACCCACTGTTGCAAGAAATTCACATCAACTTTCAATCGCTTTGAACCGAGCTTTTGACCTATTAGAAGTCGTTCAAATTCATTCAAATCACCGTCCTTTTAAAGCCCCGGGCATGAACTTGAAGTTGCATGTTTAAAGTGTTTCGAAATTCTCCCTAGATTGGGGAATTACACCCCAATAAGAGGGGGATGTCACTGTTTCACCTCACAAATTTTGTGTTAAGCTCTTTTTCTGCCACCTTTCTCGGGATTACTCATTAACCTATTCAAGTAGCTATGTAACAGCTTTAATAACTGATAAATGCGAGCATTATGTGAGGTTTTTCTTGCGAATGCTGTAGTGTTATATGGATGGTGTTACGCAACTGTGTGTTATGTGATGAATGGATAAGTGCAAAGCTAATGTGATTTCTCTATGATGAATGCTACATGATAAGTGTCGAATTGCTACCGATGACTTCTAAGCGTAAATGCTATGTGACAGCTCATGCAATGGATGTTTCATGATAACTTCTATAATGTTTTGTGAATGCTGGATGATTCTGCATAAGACTCATCTCTTGCATGATGAAATTTGATTCATCTATTATAATGCACTGATTTAGCACGAAAGAGATTAAATGCTTGAGCACGATATGAAGCCACAATGATGACCACTACGCAATGGGACGCCCATTGGTAGTGGACACTGCTATATGATAATACTGTGATAACAGCCAATGTTTTACTGATACTGCTCGCCACGGGATGGGGCACCCATCGGTAGTGAGGACTGCTATACTGAGGAAAGTGATGCCGGCTATACCCCCTAACTTGCTAAATGATAGGATGCAGATAAGGGGAAAAGTGAAATGAGAGGGTCACACCCCCCCAGATTTACTAAGATGAGACTAGTGACTGACGCGTTGCAAAGTAAGTGCCTATTGAATCTCCAATACGCACTGGGGGACCGTGTGTGTGAGTATAAGGGCATTACGAAGTGGATTTTCCCACTTGTCATTGCCCTCCCTCCTGGGAGATGGTAGAGGCCTTAAGTAATGGGATTGGCTTAACCTGATGGATAGGGCCTCTATTGCGGGAGTATGTGAACTAGAGGGTCAGTGAGTAATGATTGAATAGTAATTGTGAATATCGATGATTGAATCGATTGAATGATAACTGCTATATGGATAAAATGCGTATAATTGATGCATTGACCTGATCGCTTAATTTCATGACTGCTGCACTGAAATTCCGTATAGTTAAATAAATTGTTTATGATTCATGAGTAGGCTCATTATTGATGCATAGCGTTTAAACCTACTTACTAGATTGTATAGCTTATCCCATTTCTCCCTTCCTTCCTTGTAGACTGATAACAACAGGTCAAGAGTTGGACCGGCGGGGACTCTTGAAGGAAATTGAAGCCAGACTTATCGGTAGTAGGATCTAGATCTTGTATGTGGTTGGGAAGTCTAGCCCTGGATTTTGTTTATTGCATGAACTTGTAAATTTTGGGCCCTGATGCCCTAGACTTAAATGTAATATTTTTGGAAGAATGTTATGTAAAGCCCTTTTGTTACTGTATGGAGCTTTAAATTAATAAATTGCCCATGTATTTAGAATTACTAGTATATTTATCTTTCTATGGTTTGCTTTGATTACTGAAATAATGGCATTATGTTCACTCCGGCCTAATTAACAAACGCTACTTTGGGATCACGAACCCACACTCGGTCACCCTCCGTCATGTACGGTAGGGGGGTCGGGGGTGGGGTTGTGACAGTTGGGGTTCTGTTTGGAAGAGGGCCATGAAGGCTGTCATTGTTAATTGGCTATGTATTAATGGCTAAATTACAGAATCATCAACTTCTAAAATCAACGGCTAAATTACTTTAACATAATACAATAAAAAACCCAGTTTTCATCTTCATGGTGCCAAACAAGGTAAAGTACCAGCTTTTATATATATACTGAGTTCTTCAAGCAGCCTGCCAAAGAGCGTTGTGCTCAAAACCAAGTTTTATATAGGCTAGAATCAACAAAACTAAGTATTAAGATAAGGATGTGGTTTATATAAGATTGCAACCTTAAACAATTCAATTAAGGCGCACCTCCAAATCTTATCATAACGTATAATTTTGGTGTAAAAAATTCTTAAGATTATCTTAAAATCTATTTTCATATCAAATTATAAAATTTTTAACTACAAAATTTGTTAAAATCAAGTAGATCTATAAACATATGCAACTCCTGAAAATGGAGAGTCTAGACAATATATTGCAAGATGCATTATTTATGAGTTTCAAAATCGTTTTCTTTCCATATTTATACATGTCGATGTCGAGATGATCAATTAGAGGGTTTTTAACATTAAAACAACCTTTGCAATGGATTTTTGAGGTGTATATGTAATTCTACATTTTAAGGTTGCAACTTTGTATAAACTTTTTCCTTAAGATAAACCCAAGATTTTATCTACAAGGTCTGGCATAAAGATATGGAAAAAGTTTATATAAGGTTGTGACTTTAAAATGTAGAAATACGGATGCACCTCAAAAATCCATCGGAGTATGTTGTTTTAACGTTGGTCATCTCGACATATCTGTGTGAATATTACAAAAAAAAAAAAGATTTTGAGTCTCGAAAATAATGCATCTTACAATACATTATCTAGACCGTCCATTTTCAAGATTTTCATATGTTTATAGATCTACTTGATTTTGAACATTTTTTTAGCTTAAAATTTTATAATTAGATATGAAAATAGATTTTCAGATAATCCTAATAATTTTTTACACCAAAATTATATGTTATGATAAAATTTGAAGGTGCTCCTTAATTGGTTTGTTCAAGGTTGCAACCTTAAAGAAATCACACCCTAAAGATAATTAAATCCTCATTTATGATAAACCAACCAGATTTTATCATATAAAATTTTCGGAAAAACGGCTAAATAAGATAGTAATATCATCCATGCGATCGCTGGTGGGCAAGCAGCTTTTAATTTCACAGCGCAATCGTAGATTCAACGGTGATGGAGAGAGGTGATTCAGTCACCGGCCGTCACAGGATCCCAGTTGGAGGGTCACTCTCAGTCATCGCCGTCATCCATATTTTGGACTGTAAATGACATTTATGATCATTATCTCCCAAAGGTCACATAGAGCATAGTAGGAAAACTTCTCATCTCTGTGGGCGCGTGAAGGTCACTGTCGCCTGCTTCTGCGCGGTAAGCTCTCCCATTTTACCGGAGCGTCGCTCCTCTCTCTCTCTAAAAACTCTTTCTCTCTCTAAAATCCACCTCCCGGATTCTTCTCTCTCTAATAACCACCTCACTCTTTGCTCTCCTTTCAGGTTGCCCTAGTTCTTTGGTCCTTTCTCTCTCCACAAGGACGGGTAACTCGACAGGTTCTCGCAGGTCGTGCATGGCGACTTCTGTTCATAATAAGAAACGGCCAGCCCTTGCGCCACCACCTCCTCCTCTGGGACCTGATTCCCCACTGTTCATGGCATATGCCGACACCCCCTCCCTCACTCTCTTGCCTGATCAGCTTCGCCATTGCTCCGAAGCCCTCGCCTTGCTCAAGAAGAAGATACAAACCCCTTTCAAGCTAAACCAGGAGTTCGATGCCTTACAGGTCAGATTCTTATTTTACATAACCTAAAAAAAAAAGAAGGCAAGGATCTTCTTACTTAATTAGTTGTTGGTTTAGGGGTGCTCCTTGGTTTTGAATTTAGGCATTGTTTCTTGTTGATGGTTTGGTTTTCCAGACTCCTTTTTGCTGTATTTTGTGTTGAGTTTTATTGAATGAAGATAATCTGCATTTTGTGGATTGGAGTGAAGATTTATAGACTGAGGTTTGGTTTTAATGCCTGCAAATTGATTTGAAAAGGTTACATGAGCGGATTTAATCTCGTTTTGGATTGCCCTTTCATGTAAACCAGTGACCACTTAAAAACTGTGAATTTTTACGAGACAAATCGTTCATATAGCAGGTGAATGACTTCAATGTGCTTTGTGACGTCGAAAGGAATTCTGGAATTTCAAAAGGAAAATCACGCTCTTGTTCACATTCCAAAGAGTATAGCAGACCAAATGGTAAAAGAATCTGATCTCATTCATCAAGGCTTATGGCCAAATCATCCATTCCGCTGTTGTGGATTACAGCTTGCTGTTTAGATCTCCATATGGTCTCTTGCTTCTTTAGTGTTCCAAGAAATGAGCTTTAAATTACAGAAAATACAATAAACCCTTTAGCATCTAGGGAACTTCGCCCAAAATTGGTCAGCTCCTCCCTTAAAACTGACATTCCCCAAACAACTAGTCAAATATCAGGGATTGGCTTGTCTTATTGTCTTTTTGTGAACAAGCTGGTCTTGAAAGCAAAATTAGGAACAACCACAGCAACAACTGTGGGGCCCGTATTAGTGACCCAACTAGGACTTGGGAGAACATTTAGTAATGATTGTTACTGTTGATGTACAGCATTTTTTGTTTTAGCATGGTTTAGATGCTACAATTGCATGAATTCTAATGTGGATCTACCTGGAAGGACTCCAATTAAGGATTACAAATATAACGAGAAATAAGTTGGAAATGATTAATAAGTAATGAAAAGCTAGAAAATGAAGAAAGAACTCACTAGATAAATGACTACTTTGAGGGGCATAACTCATTTTAAGACTCAAGATCAAATTTTTCTCTGCTCTATCAACTGCCGAAGACGCCTTTCTATAATTAATCATACCTTCTGCTTGTATTCTTGAATTAGCGCACATTCTTTTGTAAATGCCTTCATCTAATTGAATATCTTTCTACATGCCTCAACCCCGTTCAAATTTGACATGGTTAGGTGCCACCTTCCCTTGGAAATCCTTGTCTGCAAGGTTGAAAATGAGCAAAGTGCATGGTGAATCTGTGGGATCGTGCTCATGTAACATCCTCAGGTTCCATACCCTTCCAGAGGACCAACACCTCAATAATGGCACGATTTCAAATTTTGCATACAACGATTTAAGATGGCTTCAAATTCCAACTCCTATACTCCCTTTTGAGTTTTGAGGAAGCTCATTTTGGACTGTGCTTTTTGACCCCCACTACTTTCTTTAAGCTCAATGCATGAAATATAGGGTGGACCTGTGATGATTTTGGTAGCTCTAACTTGTAAAGCAACATGTCCAATGCGTTCAATAACCTTTATGGCCATAAAATATAGGCTCAAGTTTCTTGGGCCCATGAACCACCAGAAAGGTTTTGCAATAAGATTGTAGTTGTGGGAGAGCTATATCACCAAAACGCTCTTTTACTGAGCTTTCGATTTGCCTAATG